ACCCCTGCTTTGCCGCTTATGTCACATTTACCACTCGAAAGGATGCGGAATTGAGGATGAGGCGTAGCGGAAGGTGGAAGCCGTGCTGGCCCCACTCAACGTCCACGGCGTGAAGCATGCGTGTCAATGCTGAGGTCCCACAGCGAACAGTATGGACGGCAAGCTGTATGTCGCTGGCAAGGGTAGAGAACAACAGTCTCACAACCAACCGAGAGAGGCGCAGATAAGTAACGGAATTGGCTTGGTACAATATATAACTGGTAGTGTCACTTGCTGCGACTGTGGGCTTTGCTACTCTCTAGCCTAACTTCTGCATACTTTTGAGTGTTAAAGAAACACAGTTCTTCAGCGACGGGTCCGTTCACCTTGCATATGGCAAAGATCACGATCCTCGGTAGTGAATGTGTAGCTAATTGTAAAGTGAGCTCTCCAACTGGTTTTTTGCTGACGGCTGCGTCAACCGTGCCCATAATGCTGTTGAGCTCCAGAGCTAGTTGGAAAGTTCATAAAACGATTCTAGGAGGGTTGGCTGGAATGAATCTGATCATGACGAGGTGGATGAGCACTCAGGTTACATCTGAGACGAGCTTTCGAATTTGAGGCTTTCAGCGATTGTCCTCTGGAACTCGGGAATCGCTCCAGCCTCATGAGCATTGTCACGCGGAACTCGGGAATCGTTCCAGCTCATGAGCATCTGAAAATCACTGGGATTCGCAATGCATGTAGAATGCGTGGCAAATCCCTAATTGTACTGATCAGCGTCAAATGCTTCTGACCTCCTTCTAACAATCCTCATCACTATAAATCAGATAATATACGCCATCTTGGCCTGATATTACGAAGAAACTTGACTGATCAGCGTGACTGATCAGAGATTGTATTTCACTTTGCAGATCCGCTGTTACAAACGATGCTCGGTCGATTGTTCGTGATTGCCCTGTGCCTGCTTGCTCTGGTAGGCATTGGAACAGCTCAATTGCTTGTTGGTAAGTAAATCAATGATGTCCGAATACGAGCGCTTTTAAAGATTCATATACTTCAGTCACACTCCACATGCCTCAGGTGGGCGTGGCCAGGTGCTCCATTAGCCCCACTCTTCTACTGGAGTACGTAGCCACGCCCACCTCCAAATCCAGATATGTGGAGTGTTATTGACGTATATATCTTCATAATGACACCAAAAGCGATATGTGACAAATCAATGGTGGGCACTGCTATGTCGCCGCGCTGGTGGGCATGGCTAGCGAGGCCGCGGCGTACTTGTAAGGCAGCGTTCAGACTTCGCGACGGCAGCGCTTCAGTAGCGCGTTCGGCGCGATCGATGCGCATGCTTTCTGCTGTGTTGATCACGTCGCGCGGAAGCGCTGCCGTCGCGAAGTCTGAACGCTGCCTAATGCCTCATGGTTCGCTCAAATTGTTGAGAGGATCGCGGGCAGACGGTCCACAGTGGAATGGAATGAACCGCCACGTGTCCGCGCGTGTGATCCTGCTTGAAACTCATCCTTCGCTAAGCTCCGCTTCTCGGAGCTGCTAACGGTTCGCATCCTCGCATTTGCAGTAGCGCCGGCAGTAGTCCGGGCGTAAATATTGGCGAAAACGTACAAAAAGGCTGCAGTGGTTCAATGAATGTTTCAAATAGACGTTGGTAAGGGCAGGGGCAATGGCTGGGGACGACAGTTGCTGCCGATGTCATTGGTGCACTGGCTGAATAGGGTGTGGCCAAACGCTCTCTCGCAGCCCTTCCACCAATGACGTTGGAAGCAACCGCCTGCCCCCTGGTTGTTAGAGCGGCTATGAAGACAATATTGTACTGCTCGCTTCTAGTCCACTCCAGAATCCAAATGAAATTATTTGAAAGAATAACAGAGCTAAATGAATCAATTTTAGGGCATCCAGTTGTTGTAGGGCGTCCGGTTGTAATGAGGCCAGTACCACCACCACGCTTCGGAGGTGGTGAGTCGTTTAAGTGTTCTGAGAGTCAAATCTTTTTCTTGTCGGATAATGCCTTTAGTTTTATCATTTCATCATGTTTTAGGCCCAAGATTCTACGGATAAGGAACGAAATCGTTGGAATGCTAAAGGACTGTGGCGACGTTGATAAAGAAAACCATTCCTATAAAAAAAGTTTTCTTCAAAATGTAGTTTTTATTTTGTGTTTATCAAGGCAAAGATTACTACCACTCTAGCGATTAACTGCTCATCAAATGAAATAAAACATTTGAAAAGTTAAAATTGAACATTGGCCAAGAAAAGAATTGTTGCATAAAAGGGTGAGAGATTGAAGCTCCAGACGTCAGTTACAGATGCGGATACCTGTCTGTTGGTTTGTACTATACAGGGTGAGAATAAGTGATGTGTGAGAAGGTGGTGTCAGTACGATCCCGCACCCTCCTCCAAAAAAGGGTCTCGGTGCGACCCCTCACTTCCTTCCCCCCCACCTACCTACCACATTCCTACAAGTTCTCCGCTTCCCACCAGTTTTTTTTTGAAGTTTCCCACATTTTCCAGTTTTTCCCAAAAGTTTTCCTTCGAGCGGGGAGGGGGAAGTTGTCAGAAACAACTACTGTTTTTAACTATCGCAAATAGAAGTTGTAACTTTGGCGGCGCCACCAACTAGGGGGGAAGGGGAATTTCCCAACACGGCAAATTTCTCTCATAGACACATACGATCCTCACCCACCCCTTTCCCAACATCGACCAAATACGACCCCCCCCCCCTCTGTTTCACACAATGATGCTGTACCCTGTTCGTATGAGCCGCAGGCCAGGCAGCAGGGCACATCATTGGTTGGGGATTTTGTCGACTCTATACGACCCCCTTTTTTTTGGAGTTGGTACGACCAGCCCTCTGTCCTTCCTCATCGAATCGAGCCGTCGAGCGGGGGGGGGGGGCATATAGTACGTGAAACAGGAAAATCACCAAAAGTCAACCGCCACTCCCACAACGCCAAAACGTAAATACGACCCCCCCCCTACGACCCCCCTCCCTTTACAACGTCCATGAAGCGAGAAAAATCAACTATCAAAATAAATTTTTCTCAGCCCAAATACGACCCCCCTCCTGGCGACCAAATACGACCCCCCCTATTGGGGATTCCCCAACAACGATGTGCCCTGCCAGCGGTCGAAATCAGCCAGCGCTCTTCTACCTTGATGTCCTGCAACAGAAAATTTTCTCGTCCAAATTGGAGGAATGACTATGCTGTCATCCAGTCTTCATTTACACGCCACGCTTCCGTTCCATGCTCTCGATGGCGAGAGAGCGATACGGTCGGTACCGTCTCTCAGTAATGCTGCCATCGTGAAACAGTGGAATTCTGACTGTGAAGTTGCTGTAAACAACGCAGTGGCACTATTTCCTAACACAACTAAACCAGAACCGGAGATGATATTCACCTGCCAATTCCATTGCCCAAATGTTGCTGTATTGTTTGGTCCAAGAGAGAGCGAAACCTAAGAAATTCATCAAACAGTTTTTTCTTACCCCCTATAAAGTGTGCGTGACTGCCTTGTAGTGTTTCAGATGACTACCATCTCTTAGTGAGGTTACTTTGTTCTTTCCAGTCGTTGTTGTCTTGTTGTTGACCAATGAGCACTGATGGAATCTCATGTCTTCCTAGTTCTGTAATTATCCAGTACACTCCATATCACTGAGTTGGAGTGGGCGTGGTATTTGAACATAGCATGGCAAAGGACCATGGCAAAGGACGGGTAACTCGTGGGATATTTCAAGTTGAGATAACTGTCATTTTGTTCAGTGTTGGACAAAGACATAAGCGCGATTGTGTCGAAAAAAATATCTCACCAAAAGCATAGTCATCATCATGTTTAGCTGAGGTACACAGCCTCGCCTACCACCCATGGGTTTCGAGTGTAGGACACTCTGGGAAAAATCTTACGTGCAGGAGAAAAACCGGTCGTACTTGTATATTTCGTGAGATGTGTAACAGTGGCCTATAAAAAAGGGTAGTTTCTGCTAGCGAAATGATCCGCTGTCTGCATTTGAGACAGGGTACAGCATCGTGATGTGGAAATGGCGGTCTCACTACGACCCGTCCCCGGAAATGGATCCTGGTACAACTCCCGCTTTTCTGACTCTAATTGTTTGCTCTGATGAGAAGGATTAGATACGTAACGATTCGCAAGCGCTTGCGGCCCCCTTATGATTCCATAGCGTTGGAGCAGATCTGTTGGCCGGGTGGAAATCGCAGGACTCTTTGTGGAGATGGCAGCTTCTCTAGGTGAGAGGCTTCTGAGAAACGGAAAGCGGAGAAGAATGAAGCAATTTCCCTACTGTTGTGTTCTCTACCTACTCGCAATCTGAGAAAATAACTTCTTTCAAACGCAATCTTTTGCAAAACTTAGAACGTCATTAGAACGCACAATATTAACGAGCTCTACAGCTTCCCTGAAGGCCCGCTAGTTCGGAAGATATTTTAGATAGATCACCCTTGGGCAACATTCTGAGCCACTCAAAAGCTCGATTGCCTTCGTGCCATATGAGGATACTCATTCATGAACTTCAATGTGCCTTCAGAACATATATTCCTGCTGGACTGAGTCAGAAGCATTGTTAAAGGCACATTCCGCGATAAAATAAGGCTATGACCTCTCAAATGTGTCGGACGATCCGGAAGGCGATTTTTGAGGCTGCGCTACTTTCAAAATGTGAAAAACGGCAAGAACTCCGCTAGAAGCTGACTAATTAGGCCCATGGACACCCCTTAGGCCCATGCCGACCCTCACCGGCTGCTAGCTAGCTAGTAGCCACTATGTTATCTTTCTCTATAACATTTCGGACTGCTTTTTCTGCTGCTTTTCTCCGCTAATCAGATACTTAGCACTTTTTTGTGCCTATTTGAGTTCCGTTTCCCGCAATTTGCGGTCGCGAACTGTGCCTTTAACACATTTCGAGCGTCGCGCCAGGCGTTGCGATTCTGCGCAGAAGTGTGGTAAGGTGTACTTTTGGATTTAGGCAAATTATCCATGCAAGCAGATTGTTTAGGGTTTGGAAAGGTCGATACGCACGAATCTGTTTGAGATGTATTATTTAGTCATCTACGTACTTACGAGTTCATGCTAACTATTGATATTGCTGATCTTCTTCTTCTTCTTCTTCTTCTTCAGCGTTTGTCCCGCTTGATGGCGGGGTCCGCTCTTTTGATATAACTACGCCATTTTTCCCGATTGAATGCCTGATCGGGGTGAATGCCGGCTAATTTTAAGTCGGTATGCAGTGTGTCGAGCCAGCGCTGTTTGGGACGCCCCTTTGGCCGCTTTCCTGGTACCTCGAGTTCGAGAGCAGTTTTACGGACGGTGTCAGCCTTCGCGCGAAGTACGTGCCCGTACCATCGAAGGCGCGTTTCGCGCAATTTCTCTGCTATGGGGGCTACTTGTTGCGCACGACATCGTTACAAATGCGGTCCGCTCGCGTGACGCCCGCCGTCCAGCGCAGCATCTTCATTTCCATCACACCAAGGCGAGCCTCAACTTCTTTGGTCGCGGGCCAGCACTCGGCACCATATAACGCGACAGGTCGGACGACAGTACGATAGATTTTGACTTGAACGCTCTGGCATTCTCTTTGCTCCGCGCAAAGATCCCAGCATGGATCGCTCTCACAGACCATGCCGCACTCACTCGTGCGCTCACTTCCGAGTTCAGACTGCCATCGGACGCAAGTGCTGATCCGAGATACTTGAATGTTTCCGTGCGCTTGAGCACCGTGTCATCGATTTTAATGGAGCCCTGCTCATTTGGGTCGGTGGTCAGGTATGGTCTTGTTGACGTTCAAGTCCAAACCTCGCTCGGCACAAGCTTGCACCTGCTGTTCCAGTGCGCTCCGTATCTTCAGCAAGCAACAATCACAAATCAAAATCAAGAGTGAGCAGGGTCCAAGGCACTTCCTTCTGAAGATCTTGTGATATGGCATCCATGACGGCAACGAAAAGAAGTGGGGAGAGCGCAGAGCCTTGATGTACCCCGACGGTGATGGGGAACTCCATTGAAACACCCGCTGGTGAGCGAACTTGGCTCCCTGGGCATGAGTAAAGGATGCGCACCCACTCGATTAGCTCTTCGGGCACGCCATGCCGCCTCAAAGCGTACCATATAACGTCACGTGGCAATTGAAGGCCTTCTCCAGGTGCCTTAACAATGCACGGGCTTTATTGCTCTCTCACGGTGTTTTGCTTACCAGCAATAGGCGAGCGGCATGTATGGCGTCGACGGTGCTACAACCCGCCACGAAGCCACACTGGTTGGTGGAAAGCTGGACGATATCACGAACACGGGCGTCAACAATTCGCTCGAAGATTTTCATAGTGTGCGAGAGAAGGCGAATTGGACGGTAGTTCGAGCACTCTGCCGGGTTGCCCTTCTTCTTCCAAATCGGGATCGTCACGCTCTGCTGCCAGTCCTTAGGCACCTTCTTCTCTTCGACGATCTGGTTTGAAGAGTTCGTCACCAACCCCGCAGGAAAACCAGCGTTAACTTCCACAAATAGCTGCGATGCTCGATCAGGCCTGTTATGTTGGCCGGCCTTCATCTTCCTCAGAGCAGCTTCGATTTCCTGTAATTCTCTGAACGGGGCCATATGTTGGTGCGGTACAGGGTATAGCGGGATGGGCGAATTCCACGGTTGAAATGCCCTCGAATATTCCCGCCATCGTTACAATACCCTTCCTCGGTCCATCAGAAGTTGCCCATTCTCATCACTTATGCCAAAGAACTTCCTTCGGTTTGGCGATGACGAGACTTGGCAAGTCCGTACAGGTACCGCTCACCGTCGCGCGTCTCCAGCTTCTTGCTGATATCATCGAAGTGAGCGGCCTTCGCAGCAGCCACGGCCGTCTTTGCCACATTCCTCGCTTCCCGATACTGCCGCCAGTTGTCAGCCGACTTCTGCTGCGAGAAACAGCGTGATAAGAAGCCTCTTTTCTCGAACCTTCGCTTTGACATCATCCGTCCAGAGCCACGCGTCTTTGTCAATCCTCCGCCGTCCAGGCTTCGTTGTGCCGAGTTCGGAGCGGGCGGCCTGGATTGATTCTCCTGAA